TTTAATGTTTCTATAGTTTTTCATCACTAGCACACTTTCAGGAGTTTAATGTTTCTATAGTTTTTCATCACTAGCACACTTTCAGGAGTTTAATGTTTCTATAGTTTTAGATTACTAGCACACTTTCAGTGGTTTAATGTTTCTATAGTTTTTCATCACTAGCACACTTTCAGGAGTTTAATGTTTCTATAGTTTTTCATCACTAGCACACTTTCAGAAGTTTAATGTTTCTATAGTTTTACATAACTAGCACACTTTCAGAAGTTTAATGTTTCTATAGTTTTTCATCACTAGCACACTTTCAGAAGTTTAATGATGCTACCAGATGAGGAAGTGTTGTTCGTATCTCACTTTGGTATCTTAGATAGATCATCGTAGCAGCGGAAGACCCCCCACGACAGCATGCAGCTGCGCAAAACATGTTCCTTCCGACTGTTTTATATATATATTGAAATTTGGTGTTTCACTTGTGCTGCTCTGAGAGCTCTGTAAAGACTCTACTGAATTTGGAAAACAAAGAAGTTACTTCTTTCAATCCAGGTTGAGAGGAAAATGGATGAATTTTAGATTAACTTACGTTCATTCCAGATGAGTCCGGTATAATTAATCTAACTGAAATGTAAAAACATTACCACGTTTTTTCGTGTGAAACGAAGCGTCATGTCAGTAGCACGTGCAACTGAAAAGAAGTTTTTTACATGGTATATCCACCCTCGTACACGAAATAATACGTTATTCCAAGTGCTGTGACTGGCTGAGCTTAAGATCTATAAGTACTTTGTGTTGTTTATCCTTTCTATTCTGTAGTATTAGTGAAAAGTTTGTCAATCATTTCATTAAAAGTTTTGAGTGATTGTTCTTTGATTCAATATTTAAATCCTGAAATGTTTGAATAACATTAAACAGTGGTAATCATAATCGAAGAACTAACCTTGAAGTAGAAAGTGTACAAGTTTCTGTCGTTATTTTAGCGCAAAGCTAGAAAATAAGCTGTTTGCGCACTGTCCACTGCGGTGAATCGAACCCTAAATATTAGCATTGTAAGTCATTACCTTACTGCTGACCCACAAATGGACAATCCAGTTAGTTAGTGATTAATTCTTTAGGTAATGCAGTTTTATGATAAAGTATGGTAAAACTTTGTTTGAAGATTCATTATTTTTTAAACTCAGAGTCTTTATTACAGGAGGTATAAACCTATTAAATGATAGGTAGAAATATATAAATAAAGAATCAGATGAATAAAAAAAACAAAAACAATTATGCACGTCTAGAGGTTTGTGTACACTGCCTAGTACACGTATAGCTGTTTGTAGTGCTGTGCCCATGTTGCTCTGTTAGACATTAATGCTTAACAAATTGTTCCACTCAGCTGAAAGCTTTGATCAAATTGTGGTGTTAAAAATATAGGATAACAAACAAATTTCTGAAAGGTTTTTGAAGACGACTTGATTGTTTCGGATTTTTAATCGAAGTTACACAAGGGGTGTCTGCTCTAATCGTCCGAAATTCTGAAGTGATAATATAAAGGGAAGGCACCTAGTCAACAGGACCCACTGCTATTCTATTCATGGGCTATTCTACTCTTTTAGCGCCCCCCCCCCCTCCTCCACGACGGTACAGAGCAGAACAGTTTTTTTTTGTTTTTTGTTTAGAAGTAACGGGACGCGAAACATGG